AATCCTGTCCCTGTTCCCAAGGAAAGGCCAAGATCACAAACAGCCACCTTCCCCCAGGCCCCTTGAAAATGGAACAGAAGAAAACCCATACACCAAGTCCTGAACCTTCTAATCTGTAAAATGGAAGGGGGCTGGGGGTACTTAGTCTAGGTGTTCCTCAAGAGGACTTGCAGCTCAGGCCATCTTGACCTGTGCTGCCCAATTCAATAGCCACTAGCCATATGTGGCTATTCAAATTTAACTTTAAATTTAAATTAAATAAAAACTTAAAATTCGGTTCCTGAATCACGTTAGCTACATTTCAAGTTCTCAATAACCATATGTGGCCAGTGGTCACTGTACTAGACAGCACAGAATAGAGCATTTTCATCCATGGCAGGAAGCTATATTGTACAGCCTCACCTAGACATCCAGAAATCCAGGAGGGAAGGAGTCTAGATTGGTGTGGGGAGGTAGGGATCCCTACAATGTGCCAGACATTTGACATCATCCTCTCCTATAACCTCCAATAGGTCGTTGTCATCCCATTTTATACATGGAGAAACAGAGACTCAGAGAAGTGGCTGCCCCAGGTCCCAGAATAAATAAATAAGGCACAACTTCCTATGAAGCCTACCCTGACCACACTCATTTCAATATTGCATCCTGTTTCTCCCCCCACCCCCACCCAAAACACACTATTTCTCCTTACCACCTTCACAAGAATCATATATTCACTTTGTTATGTTTATGGTTGTTTTATTCTTTGCTGTCCCCATCCCCCTAAAATAGCAGATCTATGAGGGCAGGGGGTTTTGTCTCTGTTCACTGTATCTCAGTTTCATGATATTGCTCTAGACACATAGTTGGTATTCAATAAATATTACTGAACTGAAATGCCTATGGGAGCCAGATGTGAACCAGTAGACAGGATGAACTAGAGAGGGGCGCACACAGCTTACTGAAGGCATAGAGGACCAAGGCCCAAGGTTTAGTGTTCCAGGAAGCTGGAAATCCAGAAGTGCATGAAAACCCTAGATTCTTAAATATTAGCATATTCAATGATAATAGTTTTTAAAATATTGCATTTACTGGGCAAACGAGTCTGCAAATATATCTGTCCCCTCTCCTCGATCTGGCTCCCCAACCACCAGTTTGAGAGCTCTGTAACAATGGTGAGTTGGGAACAGAACCTTGGGGGACTGTTGGCCAAGAGCTGGTGCTGTTCCGAAGTAGAAGGGATGTTGCAGGTGGGAAAGGAAGGCTCACCCGACTCAGGGCCGACCCCCAGGACACCTCAGGTGGGAAGGATTTGAAAGGAAGGGCGGCCTTACTGAGCCCTGCCCAGGTAGCCAGCCTCTGCCCCACCCCTGGCCGCCGCCTCCCAAACCGGTCCAACCCGTTGTGGCCGCAGCGGTTCCCTCCCGGGCACCATCGCGGGGGAAAGAGGGAGGTCAGACGGGCAGGGCGCGCCCCCGCTCAGGCCCCCAGTCCCTCCGGCCTGACCTGCTGACCCCAGGATCCCCTCCGGAGGGGCCGGAACAATGGCGAGGGCCAGGCCGGGCTTTGGGGCCGCCCGCCAGCCTCGGGCTCGCCCACCCCCCGGCCGTGCGCCTTGCGCAAGCAGCGGCGCCTCTAAGGAGACTCGGTTTCTTATCTGTGAAATGCAGTTAAAAATAGACCTTCCTGAGCCTCAGGTCACCGTAAGGATGGAGAGAGCAAAGAGGTCGAGGACTTTACTCAGCACCTGGCAAAAAGGCGGCGCTCAATGAACCAGGCTCCTCGTCTTTATTATGACTTTGACGACCCCAAGTCCGCCGACCTGCCGTCTCGCAGGGGTCGCTAAGCACGCTCCAGAAGCGTCTGTGCGAGCGGAGCCGCGGACAAAGGCGGCACATGGTAGAGCCTAGTGAGCTCGCCTGAACAAGCCCCAGGTCACAGGGGGCAAACGCAGGTGCGGTGGTTCCTGCCAGGTGAAGCCAGGTTCCCAGTTCCCAGGTGGGATTCGAGGTCCCCTCTGAGGTCTCCTCTCACCGCCCAACGCCCCACCCACGGACTTTCGAACGCTGCCCGCGAATGCCCCCAAATGCACCGGCCCCGGACTCTCATTGGAATCCTGGGGCACACAACCCCACCTCCCCCCTCCCCACCTGCTCGGCAGGCATCGGCCTCAGGTGGCCGCGGATAAGAGATGGGGGAAACTCGGATCCCCAGTCTGGCTTCTGCCCTCCCTCACTTCGGGGCAATCCTGGGGACTCACAGTCACAGAGGGGGCTGCCAGCGGGGCGGCGTGCTGTGTGACACCCACCGCCCGCCGCCCCTCTCTGAGCCCGGGTTGGCCCGGCTCCAGAATGAGGGGATTGACTGCACGATCCCGCAGTCCGGTTTAGGCCGAAAGGTGAGTCCCTGCCCGGTCCCCGCCATCCCGGGGAGGAAGTGGTGCCCGGGCTGCCCCCCACTACAGCTGGGCGTCCCCGCCTGGACCCGCACGTACCTGGATGGGCCCGCGCCGCTGTCCTGCGCGCCTCCAGCCCGGCCCACCTAGGGCTCAGTAACCCGCGTTTGCGCAACTTCCGGCGGCCGCGGGCAGGTGAACCCGCCGGCACAGGTATTACCCGAAAGGGGGGAAGGAAAGGCAGGCAGAGGCCGGAACCCGAGCCCCGGAGCCGGAACGGGGTCCGATCTGCTCCTGGCCCACCCCGGGAAGCTCTTCCGGGAGCCGGGACCTGCCCGTCACACATGTGGCACCTGCAGCCCTCGTCGCCTGCTCAGGCCAGCGCACCCATCTTAAAGATGGAAAAACTGAGCCCCACTTCCCCACAGTCACAGCGACGGCCAGTTAATGTTTACTGTGCCAGGCACGGGAAAGTGTTTCTCCTGGTATTAATTAACCCATTTTAATCTTCCAAACAACCCCTATAAGGTGAGCTCTATTGTTACCCCATTTGACTTATGGAAAACTGAGGCTGGGACAGGCTGAGTCACTTGCCCAAAGTCACCCTGGGGAGTCCAACGGTATTAATTAACCCATTTTAATCTTCCAAACAACCCCTATAAGGTGAGCTCTATTGTTACCCCATTTGACTAATGGAAAACTGAGGCTGGGACAGGCTGAGTCACTTGCCCAAAGTCACCCTGGGGA